TGTAAAAATGGTACGGCAATTATCATGGGGGATTTAAATCAACATGTAGATTGGTCGAACCAGCTTGGTCAGGGTAGCCTTGAGGAGGAGTTCGTTGAGTGTATCCGTGATAGTTTTCTTGAACAGTATGTAATGGAACCGACGAGGGAGCAAGCTATCCTAGATCTGGTCCTGTGTAATGGGACAGGAATAATTAATGACCTCATAGTTAGGGATCCTCTTGGAAGGAGTGATCACAGTATGGTTGAATTTAGAATACAGATGGAGAGTGTGAAGATAAAATCCAATACCAGGGTCCTGTGCTTGAACAAGGGGAACTACAATTGAAAGAGGGAGGACTTGGCTAAAGTAGACTGGAAACAAAGATTTTATGGTGGGACAGTTGACGAGCAGTGGAGGACTTTCAAAGCAATTTTTCAAAGCGCTCAGCAAAAGTATATTCCAGTGAAAAGGAAGGACTGTAAGAAAAGGGGTAATCTGCCATGGGTGTCTAAAGAAATAAGGGAGGCTATCAAATTGAAAGAGAAGGTATACAAAGTGGCCAAAAACAGCATGAAACTAGAAGATTGGGAAAACTTTAACGGTCAACAGAAAGCCACAAAAAGAGCTATAAAGAAAAGTAAGATAGAACATGAGAAAAAACTAGCACAGAATATAAAGACAGAAAGGAAAAGTTTCTATAAATATATAAAATGAAAAAGAATGGCTAAAGTAAACTTTGGCCCTTTAGAGGATGAGAAGGGGAATTTAGTTATGGGATATGATGAAATGGCCGAGGCATTGAACAGGTATTTTGTATCGGTCTTCACAGTGGAGGACACTAATAACATGCCAGTAATTGACAAAGAGACGAAGGTAGGTGAGGACCTGGAAACAATCATTATTACGGAAGAGGTAGCGTTGGGCAAGCTAATGGAGCTAAGGATTGATAAGTCTCCTGGCCCTGATGGAATGCATCCCAGGGTACTAAAAGAGATGGCGGGAGTAATACTGGCGGTAATTTTCCAAAATTTGCTGGACTCTGGGGTAGTCCCAGCAGATTGGAAAACAGCAAATGTGACGTCACTGTTTAAAAAGGGAAGTCGACAAAAGATGGGGAATTATAGACCGGTTAGCTTAACCTCTGTAGTGGAGAAGATGCTTGAGTCTATTATCAAGGAAGAAATAGCAAGGCATCTTGATAGAAATTGTCCCTTTGGGCAGACGCAGCATGGGTTCATGAAGGGCAGGTCATGCTTGACAAATCTTTTGGAATTCTATGAAGATATTACGAGCGAGGTGGACAATGGGGACCCAGTGGATGTGGTGTACCTAGATTTCCAAAAGGCCTTCGACAAGGTGCCGCACAAGAGGCTACTGCATAAGATAAGGATGCATGGCATTAAGGGTAAAGTATTAGCATGGATAGAGGATTGGTTGACTAACAGGAAGCAAAGAATGGGGATAAATGAGTGCTATTCTAGCTGGCAGTCAGTGACTAGTGGTGTGCCTCAGGGATCGGTGTTGGGACCGCAATTATTTACAATTTATATAGATGATTTGGAGTTGGGGACCATGTGTAGGGTGTCAAAGTTTGCAGATGACACCAAGATGAGTGGCAGAGCAAAGTGTGCAGAGGACTGTGAAACTTTGCAGAGGAACATAGATACATTGAGTGAGTGGGCAAAGGTCTGGCAGATGGAATACAATGTAAATAAATGTGAAGTCATACATTTTGGTAGGAGTAATAGTAAAAAGGATTATTACTTGAATGGTAAAAAGTTGCAGCATGCTGCTATGCGGAGGGACCTGGGTGTCCTTGTGCATGAATCACAGAAGGTAGGTCTGCAGGTACAACAAGTAATTAGGAAGGCAAATGGAATTTTGTCCTTCATTGCTAAAGGGATTGAGATTAAAAGCAGAGAGGTTATGTTGCAGCTGTACAAGGTGCTGGTGAGGCCACACCTGGAGTACTGTGTGCAGTTTTGGTCTCCTTACTTGAAAAAGAATGTACTGGCACTGGAGGGGGTGCAAAGGAGGTTCACTAGGTTGATTCCGGAGTTGAGGGGGTTGGTTTATGAGGAGAGACTGAGTAGATTGGGATTATATACATTGGAATTCAGAAGATTGAGGGGGGATCTTACAGAAACATATAAAATTATGAAGGGAATAGATAAGATAGAAGTAGAGAGGATGTTTCCACTGGCAGGTGAAACTAGGACAAGAGGGAGCTCCCTCAAGATTAGAGGGAGCAGATTTAAGACTGAATTGAGAAGGAACTTCTTCACCCAGAGGGTTGTTAATCTATGGAATTCCTTGCCCAGTGAAGTAGTTGACGCTACTTCAGTAAACATTTTTAAAGATAAGGTAGATTTTTTTTGAACAATAATAATAAGGGATACGGTGAGAACGCGGGTAAGTGGATCTGAGTCGACGAAAAGATCAGCCATGATCTTATTGAATGGCGGAGCAGGCTCGAAGGGCCGGCCGGCCTACTCCTGCTCCTAGTTCTTATGTTCTTATGATTCGCAACAAACAACTACACCTCCCAGTTGCGAACCATTTTGACTCCCCCTCCCAGTTCTTGGGCGACATGTCCATCCTGGGCCTCCTGCATTGCCACAATGATGCCACCCGAAGGCTGCAGGAACAGCATCTCATATTTCGCTTGGGAACCCTGCAGCCCAAGGGTATCAATGTGGACTTCACAAGCTTCAAAATCTCCCCTCCCCCGACCACATCCCAAAATCAGCCCAGCTCCTCCAGCCTCCCTAACCATTCCTCCCACCTCAAGCCCCACCCCCATCTCCTACCCACTAACCTCATCCCACCCCCTTGACCTGTCCGTCCTCCCTGGACTGACCTATCCCCTCCCTAATTCCCCACCTACACTCACCTTTACTGGCTCCATCCCCGCCTCTTTAACCTGTCTGTTTCCTCTCCACCTATCTTCTCCTCTATCCCTCTTCTATCCGCCTCCCCCTCTCTCCCTATTTATTTCAGAACCCCCTTCCCCTCCCCCTCCCCCATTTCTGAAGAAAGGTCTAGACCTGAAATGTTAGCTTTCCTGCTCCTCTGATGCTGCATGGCCTGCTGTGTTCATCCAGTTCTACACCCTGTTATCCACAGACCACACTTCAATAGGTGCGACCATCATACACAGCGGCGGTGGGACAGGCCCAGTACCCATCAGAGTGGTCAGGGGTTGTGGGAAAAACTCTGCTGTTTGAATAATGTCACACGGTTCCAGATCAGACCCGAATATCCTGGAACTATTTCCCTTTGTCCTACTCAGAAAAGTTGAACAGTTCAGTTTTTCTGAAAGCCACCATAAAGTTGGTGAATTGTCCTGTTTATAGACCTGACTGGCTGCCTGGAAGATAGGTGGAATTCAAGAGAGCTCTTTCGTACCAAAAAGCTGGGGCACTTTCGATTCCCCATGAATGTCGGTGAATGTAAAGACTTATTATCGATGGGCGTGATAGGGGGGCAGCCCACAACAGCAGGCTGTCTATAAGTCAGGAGCTGTGTGGGAGGTGCAGCTGTGTAGCAGTCCCCTGTGGTAAGGTGAGATGTAAAAGTACATGAGCTTCCTTGCAGGACACTAAAGGGGCCTATGACTTTGAATGTAGAGGTAGAAAGAAGTGTTTGCACAGATCCACCCTGCCATAATTGTTCACTGCAGAAACAGACCATTCGGCCTATCGAGCTTGTGTAGGCTTTTTGAAAGATTAATCCCTGTATTATAGCCCTTTCAAGTGTGCACACAATTTCAGAGATATACGTACAAGATATAAAATGTGCAGTCTTTCAGAACTTAAAATAAAAGACTTCAGCCTAAATGGAAACAGCACTGGTTCAGAACCCCTTTAGACTCACGGTGACCATTCAGCCTATTGAGTTCGTACTGGCTGCCCACTGAACTATCCATCTCGTCTCACTCATTGTAGCCCCATTAGGCTTCCTTCGTGGTGAGGAGATAGTTCCCAATCATTACCTGTGGGGCGGTGTTGAAAATTTTCGTCACATTCCCACCACGTCTCTCGCCCAAAATCTTAAATCCGTGCCCCGTACTCCCAGTACAACAGCGAAAGGGAAGTTTCTCACCTAACCCATCAAACCCTGTCACAATGTTGCACACCTCGATCATACCTCCCCTCAATTTCATCTACTCAAAGGGGAGCAGTCCAGCTCCTCCAAACTAACCTTGTGACATCCCCCCCCCCCACCCAACCACCATCGCCCCATTCCCTGAAACCATGCTGGTAAATCTTCTCTGCACTCCCTGAATTACTGTCGCGTCCTTCTTAAATTTAAAAATGCATGATAATTCGAATTTAGATAATCCGGGATGATGTGTCAATGGGTCCGAGAAATAAAGAGGTGATGAAGAAGGAATGTCAAGCACTTTGCTGAAAGGAAGGGTATGTTCAGGCTTGCAAGTATTCCTTGATTTCATTCTCTGGCTGTTTGCCAACAAACAAATTGTGCTCCGCTCTACTTTCTTCACATTTTTTATTTGTAATTTTCTGTTCAAAACAGTTACCATGAGAAAACCATCAGGCGGGGTGGAATTTACACAAATAAACTTTACAGAAAGAGTTTAATAATCTTTTATGAATTATTATTATTGTCGCTAGCGACATGTAGTCCCATTTACCACACAACATTGCAACTACTTAAAGTGAAAGCAGGTTTACTTATTCATCAGGGGGAAAACACGCGTTTGCATGTAATGATCTCATTATATCATATTATCGTAAATATCTTTCTTAGGACAATTCATGAGAATGTTGAATGTGCATTCATTTTAAGATGTAAAAGCTGATGACCAATTAGCTTTTTTTTAGAAAAAAACATCTAAATATAGAAATTGGAACAATGATTACTTGCAATTTGTGTAGTCAGGATTTCCTTAGTCCCAGTTCCTGGGTAGATACAGGGTGTGTGTCGTATGGTTATAGACAAGGAGCAGAGCTCCAGTGTTAGGAGAGAGAGAGAGAGAGCTCAGTAACTGAAACATGGCGAGGGGGCCGAGGGGAAGGTTGCTGCTCGGTGCTGTCCTGCTGCACTTTGGACAGCTCGTAGTTAGCCAAGAGGCACCAGACAAAGTCAACGGCTTCAGCCTACACCCGCCCTACTTGAACATCGCACAAGGGTCCAAGATTGCGGCCACAGCCACTTGCGGAGAGGACGGATCGGGCAGGCCGAGATTGGACCTCTACTGTAAACTGGTAGGAGGACCAGCTGCCGGAGTCTCCAGCCAGACGATCCAGGTACATAGCACGCTGCTAACTCTGAGAATTAGGGTGCTAGGAAGTCCCCTCCAAACGGGAAAGCATTCCGCTTTCTGAACCACCAAAGGATTTTTAATCCGGAGAGATTCCACCAAATACTCTATCTTTGCAATGAAGGGGAAACTTCTGCGTTATGCGTTAATTGGACAGCTTTCAGCGCGATGGGCAGAAAAGTGTCTGCGCTTTATGATTCTGCCATTGGGTTTGTGAGCATTAAAACAAAACTTAGAAAAGTGTATCAAATTTGGAGATATTTCATGGTTTGGTAGATTAAAACCGTACAGTAAAAAGGCAAACTCGGGTTAAACCAAGATTCTGTGATCCAGCTGTTGCAGAGAATGGGACACGGGAAACTGGACAAGATTACACTTCATTTTAAACCTAGCAGACCGTGACTACTCAACCCCAACACCCGTACACGGTTGCACACGGGAACAGGTCACAATTCCCGTTGTAGCCGCAGAGAATGGGTTCACTCAACCAAATGTCAGTCCGGCTGGAGCAGTACAGAACATGCGATCAGATGGAAGTAACATTTCAAATGAACACAACCAATCCGTCTGAAAGTGGAAAATATCAGATGCAATTTAATTGTTTTATTTATTCATGGGAATGAGGGCGTCGCTGGCTAGGCAGCATTTATTGCCCATCCCTAATTACCAGAGGGCAGTTCAGAGTCAACCACATTGCTGTGGGTCTGGAGTCACATGTAGACCAGACCAGATAAGGATGGCAGTTTCCTTCCCCAAAGGGCATTAGTGGACCAGATGGGTTTTCCCTGGCAATCAATTCATGGCCGTCATTAGACTCTTAAGTCCAGATTTCACCATCTGCTGTGAAGGGATTTGAACTTAGGTCCCCAGGGTCTCTGAATTGAAAGATCTGCAATAATAACACTAGGCCATTGCCTCCTAAAGCAGCAAGTGCTAAACAAATACATAAGGCTATTGGCAGAAAGAAAACCAGGTTATTATGTTTGCAAGAGAAACGGAAAGTGCTGGAGAAACTCAATAGGTCCAGCAGCTTCTGTGGAGAGAGGAACAGAATTAACGTTTTGAGTCTAGTATGCCTTCTTCTGAATTGAAGAACTTCTTCAGAGTCATACTCCAGTTCGTACAGAAGAGTCATACTGAAAGACTCAACATGTTAACTGTTTCTTGCTCCACAGATGCTGCCAGACCTGTTGAGTTTCTCCAGCACTTTGTTTCAGGTTTTCAGCATTGGTTTGACATAATAGTAAAACTGTGGATGGGGCTGGTGTAGTTCATCACACTTCCCTGAGTTAAAGTGGAGTAAGTTTTCAACTAAATTTTAGACTGACAACTTCTTTTCCCATAATTGCAAGTATAATTTTAAACAAGAAGCTTCTCTCCATGCTTCTTGCTTTTATCTATGAAACAAAATGAGAGACTATGTTAGAAGAGATAACAAGGTATTTGATAACACCTAGATAACAAGGATAACAAGAGATAACAATGTTAGAACATTACAGATAACAAGGTGTAGAGCTGGATGAACACAGCAGGCCAAGCAGCATCATAGGAGCAGGAAGGCTGACGTTTCGGCCAAGACCCTTTTGTGTTCATCCAGCTCTACCCCTTGTTATCTCAGATTTTCCAGCATCTGCAGTTCCTACTATCTCTGATACACTGTTAGAACAGTAGTTGTCTGGCACTTCTTCATCTGTGTCATGTTGTCCCAAATCAACTGTTCCTTGGCCTTGGAAAGTTGGAACATTTGGGCCCACTGGTCTCAGAATAGGCCAAACAATAGGAATAGGCCCCACTCACATGATTGGTTACATGCTTGGTCTATTTTCTCTCGAATTTAGAAGGTTAAGGGGTGATCTGACCCTCACCTGACTTGAAATGTTAACTCTGATTTCTCTCCACAGATGCTGCCAGACCTGCTGAGTTTTTCTAGCCATTTCTGTTTTTGTTTCAGCTGATGCTAAATCAGTTGTTAATTTTAAATCTGAGATAGATAAATTTTCATTAAGTCAAGGTATGAAGGGATGGGGACCACAGGACCAAAGGCGCCCCATATGGATTTAGGCCATAGATCAGCCATGATCACATTGAAAGGTGGAGCAGGGATGAGGGACTGAATGGCCTATAAAGCCAGAAGAATAAAGAAATAATAAAAAAGTGTTCAATTTTATACTGCTTCTTGTTAAGTGCTCTGCCATGGGCTTGGTAGCCAGGCACAAGTCCCTTCGTCTAACAAAAGTCACCAGTCTTCGGCGTCATCTGTCCTCCACTAAGACCCTTGCCACTATGAGTCGTCAATGGGCCTCACCAATGCATACACCACCAATGCCACCGGGTACAGCACCAGCCCAAACTCCGCAATCACCATGAGTCCACTTCGGGCCCACTTTGCTGATGCTGATGCCGCATAGTCTTGTATTGGGCCCAGTACATACTAATAACAGGGAAGACAAATAAGGGGCACTTAGACAACTTGGATGTAGTTCTTCCTGGCCTCCATCCTGGCACCTTTGCGTCAACTCTTAAAAAATTGTCAGCCTTGGAAATGCATAGAAGTGAATTCAGAGAAGTGAAGAAAAAGCTATGACCTCTAAGGTGTTGGCACACTATGATTCCAAGTGAAATCTGGTATTGACATGCAGTGCCATCCCATACAATATTGGGGTAACATTAGCTCATAGATGGCTCAATGGAGAGGAATGCCCAATAGTATATGCATCAAGGACTTTGGTTAATGCAGAGCATAAATATGCTCAGATAGAGAAGGAAAGTTTGGTGGCCATATTTGGAGTCAGGAAGCCCCACCAATACCTTTACAGTCATAAATTTGTAATAATAAAGGACCACAAATCCCTGCTATATCTACTTAAGAGGACAAGGCAGTGCCGTCTGTAGCTTCAGGCTGAATTCAGCAGTGGGCTCTAATACTAAATGCATATAATTACAAGTTGGAATACCGTCCAGGAGGCCAAGTAGCAAATGTGGATGCATTGAGCCACCTCCCACTGGCAGATACACTGGTGGTATGGCACTGGAAGAGTCTGTAATAGTTTAAAATTTTCTGGCCACACTTCCAGTCACAGCTGACAACATCAGATGTTGAACTCGGAAGGGTCTGGTCCTGGCAAAACTAAAGCAGCTGGTGATGATAGGGGAAACTAAAGGGCCATCACAAGAAGAATTGAAACCTTTTTGGACCCAGGGAGACTAGATCACAGTAGAGGATGACATATTATCATGGGGAGCAAGAGAGATTGTCCTGAGCAAAGGTCACTAGCAGATATTGACTGAACTCCACCAGGGTCATCCAGGGGTTTCCAAAATGGAGAAGTTGGTGAGAAGTTACATCGGGTGGCCAGGATTGGATGCGGATATAGGTGCATTGATGGGACAATGTCCAATAAGGAAAGAAATTACCATTACCTGTTCCCCCACATTGTTGGGAATAGCCAGATAAACCCTGGACTCTTTACTCGGAGAGTAGTAAGGGTGTGGAATGCCCTGCCTGCAAAAGTAGTAGACTCACCAACTTTAAGCCTCCTCTAAGCGAGAGAGACAGTTTACTTCAGGGGATGCAGTTTGGTGTAGGAACCACAGGAATGGCCCTATATGGGTAAGAGGCGAGGTCAGGTCCAGTGATGTACAAAGTTTGGGTAGGTGTGATGGTTCTGAACAAGCACGTGGACCATATGAAAGCTGCAAACATGAAACTGTGCGGGAGCAATATGTGCGCAGCTCCTTGACAGCCTTTCCAACTGTTCTGGAACATGTGGGTTCTCCATCTCTGTCAAGCATTGAAGTTACCTCGGAATCTGAGATGGACCTGGTGGATATTGCCGCCTTGACACCTTCGCTGCCTGAAGACGGTCCAGGCACAAGAGGTGAACTACTGTGCATTGCACACCACCTGTATCAGAGGCAGAGTTGGAGGAACCTGACCCGGTGCTAAAATGTCCCTGGAGGTGCTACAAAAAATAACTGGACTGTGTCCTTGGACTTGGAGGGGGAGGAATGTAGTGATTGTAAGGAGGTCAGCCAGGTGGACTTCATAGAATGGGAGTTCCCTGATTGGGGCTGTTAACCTGGTTCAATCAGGGAGCCCTGGCTGACAGATATAAACAGGAGTGTCAGACATTTTGTTCATTCTGAGAGCTGGCTCCGAGGGAGCTGGATCAGTGTCAAGGAATCTCTATTTGTAAATAAAGGGTGACTTTGTGACAGGTTACTGGTCTCTGTGGAGTTATTTCAGGGCACATATTGCTAAGATGGGAGCCTCAGTTGCTTCGCATCCCGATTAGGCAGCTAATTGAGCCACATGAAGTCAAGACAGGGCACTACCTCCTACTTTGATAGATACTTTCCTAGCATTAGGATATCTTGCTGCAGGCAGCAAGTTCCTGAGTTTAGAAACATAGAGTCTAGTCTGCTTTTCTCAGACTATGGCCTGAATCCAAGAATCTTTATGTACTCTGTCTTTTGTGGTGAAGTAGATTTCCATTCTTAATTGATGCTCCTTGGCCAATGCAGTGGTTGCCTGGTGTTGTGCCTAATTGCCACCAGTGCTACATGACTAACCCCTTGCTGCAATCACTTGAACCTACCTGCCTGGCCCTAGCTATTTGCAGCCTTCACACATGCCCTGGCATCTCCATGCTGCAGCCTCAACAGTGATCACTGTTAGCGGTGGCACTACCAAGCGGCTGTTCCTCTGGTGTGGGTTGTTGTGGAGGAAAATGTTTCTGATAGGGTAGCTGCTGAAAACAACATTAATCTGTTATATTTTTGAGCAGATGCACCCCTGGGATTTTAGTGCACAATTAAGTTGTCAGTATATTAATGGTCAAAAATATAATGGATTAAAATGTAACCAATAACTTCAGTTGTTTTCAGTAGCTACCTTCTCAGAAACATTTACCTCCATAACATCACTTCAAAGTAATCCATTAACTTTAGGACACCCTGCAGATGTGTTAACATGCTGAAGGAAAGTTCCTTTCTTGTGTTCAATATTGTTAAGGTGAACACTTGTGAACCTGAATCTTCTGATGTAAGATTGGTTTTTTTTGCATACCCTGAGCATTTGCTTTCAGCATGTGCACACTGTGACCTCTTACTGATATTGTCAATATTGTCACCCCTCACTGGGAAAATCAAGCCTTGCTGTTCACAGGGTCATCACACCAGTTAAAGAATTTTATAGAGTACAGAATTCCACAGACCAAGGTTGACAGAAAGCACAGACCAGGTTTCTGTCCCTAACAAGAGTGACTATTTATGACAAATAAATAGATTCTAGCTGCAGGCAAGCAGTTTTAAACCAGTTAAAATTCTAATCCACTTACTGAAGTCCCCATGCACGTGCGTGCGTGTGCGCACGCACACACACACACCGCAAAAAAGTACATTGGAGACATGCATATAGGGAGAATGGGAAAGGTAATTCAAAGGTCCCTGTCCACAATATTTGCTGAGATGATCCTTTTGCATTCAGAATGCTACTTCTCAATCTTCCTTCTCCAGACACTTTCATGTTTGCAGGAGACACAGGATAACTTGTTCACACTTAGAAAGGTCATTGACTTATTAATTATCATCTTACAGCAACTGATGAGGTAAATAAACTGGCATGACAGGCTTTTAAATTGCAGAGACAGTCAGTTAGCTTGGATGGCAGGTTTGCGATGCAAAACAACACCAACAGTATGTTTTAATTCCTGTACCAGTGAGGTTACCAGGAAGGTACTGCTGTCTTAACTTTGCCCCTCACCTGAGGTCATGCAATATGAAAACAGACCCTTTGGTAAAACTTGTCTGTGCTGACCTAGTCCCATTTGCCAGCATTTGGCCCATATCCCTCTGAACCTTTTCTATCATATACCCATCCAGATGCCTTTTAAATGTTGTAATTGTACCAGCCTCCACCACTTCCTCTGGCAGCTTGTTCCATACACGCAGCCCCCTAGGCGTGAAAATGTTGTCCCTTAGGTCCCTTTTATATCTTTCCCCCTCACTTTAAACCCATGCCGTCCAATTTTGGACTACCCCATCCTAGGAAAAAGACCTTGGCTATTTACCCTATCCAGGACCCTTATGATTTTATAAACCTCTATAAAGTCACCCTTCAGCCTCTGATGCTTCAGGGAAAAAAGCTCCAGCCTATTCAGCTTCTCCCAAGAACTCAAACTCTCCAGTCATGGCAACATCTTTGTAAATCTTTTCTGCACCCTCTCAAGTTTAACAACATCCTTCCTATAGAAGGGCGAACAGAATTGTTTGCAGTATTTCAAAAGTGGTCTCACCAATGTCCTGTAAGGCCACAACATGATGTCCCAACTCCTATATTCAATGGTCTGACCAATGAATGCAAGCGTGCCAAGCACCTTCTTTCACCACCCTGTAAGGAAGCTTAAAATTATTCATCTTGGCAGGAAGAGTGATGAAAGACAATATAAAATAAAGGGCAGTATTCAAAAAAGCATGTAGAATCAGAGGGACCTGTGGGTTATATGTGCACAAATCATTCAAGGTTGTAGGGCAGATTGAGAGTACACTTAATAAAGTATACAGCATCCTTGGCTTGATAAATGGAGGTTCAGAGTGCAATGGTTAGGAGCTTGTAACAAACTTACCACAAAACAATGGTTCGGCCTCAACAGAATATAATGGGTAGAATTTTATGATCCTTCGCTGCTTGTTTTGCAGGTGGAGGTGTTGGTAAAATTCCCCTACTGCTTTTTCACTCACCTGTTTGCATTTTTACATAAGGAAGGTAAGGCCTAGGGAAGCCTTCTGCCCAACCCAATTGAGGCTCTTGTGGTCAATCATTAATCGCCTAAGAATCACTTCACACCCAGCTTTAATTTTGAGGCTGTTGGTGGCTTTCTAGAGTGGGATGCTGTCCTGTAGATCAAGCATCCTGCTCAGGCCTTAGGCAGAAAGGGGGCTTATTTTCTTCATTGTCCCCCGCCTTCCAACATCGATCACATGCCCCCATGGTCTCCCCAACCTTAGGTGGCCTCTTCCTCCCTGGCTTTTACCTCTCTATGAAGACACCTGTAACACAGTGTGGAGCTGGAGGAACACAGCAGGCCAGGCAGCATCAGTGGAGCAGAAAAGTTGACATTTCGGGTCAGGACCCTTCTATCAAGACACCTAATCTCTTTTCTACCAAACTCAACCCCTCCCCCCCACCACTTCTCTGGACATTATCTCTCTTCTCCACAGTACCACAATCCTAGACTCCAGGATGTGGAATCTGGGGACTTCTTGCACTCGCAGTCCTGGCCAAAGCTACTGGGGTTACAGCCAAAACTGTATGTCTGTCAGCCTCTCAGATTAACCAGTGACTCTCAGGCAGGATTAGAAATCTGATTTTCTGCAATTTTCACACATCATCATGTTAAATAGCTGGAATAGTTCCAGGGATGAGAAGTTTCTGTTATGTGAATAGATTGAAGAAGTTGGATCTAGTCTCCTTGCAGGGGTAAGGGAGAAGCTTTTCTCATTGGCGGAAGGATTGAGAACCACAACACATCAATTTAAATCAATCAGCTAACAGAGCAATGGCAATATGAGGAAGTTGTTTTTCAAATTGAGTAGTTAGGATCTGAAATGCACTGCCTTAGGCTGTCATGGAGGTGGGGTCCATCCTGACTTTCAAAAGAGACTTGGATCGTTATCTGAAGAGGAAACATTTGCTCGGGCTATGGGAGAAAGGTGAAGACTGGGTTTAGGTAAGTGCCCTTGCAGGGTGCTGTCACAGACATGAAAGGCTGAATGGCCTCCTTCCCAACATTGGTAACAATGCAATTGAAATTCATGTAAAAGAACTGAAAAGGTTCAGGAAGAAGTGAGAAAGTCTCACAAAGAACAAGGTAAAACTGAGGTAAAATATGCCTCTAGTGTCAGTGATTATCATCTTTAAGTATAATACTTAAAACAATATTTGAATTTGATGAGAGATAGTAGGAACTGCAGATGCTGGAAAATCTGAGATAACAAGGTGTAGAACAGCCTTCCTGCTCCTATGATGCTGCTTGGCCTGCTGTGTTCATCCAGCTCTACACCTTGTTATCTTTGAATTTGATGATGTTGGTTACAGATATAAAGGTTTTTCAGATTTCATACGAGGTCTTAATTTTAACTTTTATTTTAATCCTTCATTTATTTTCTTTAGGGGCAATTCTGTGATCACTGCCTGTCTGATGATGCATACAAAGCTCATGCAATCACCAATGCCATCGATGGTACTGAGCGCTGGTGGCAAAGCCCACCTCTTTCACGTGGACTGCACTACAATCAAGTCAATGTCACTCTGGATTTCGGTCAGGTTGGTCAATGATTTCTGGAGATGTCTATTCAGTTTTGCTTGATGCATCTGTTACTGCAACTCCAACATTTTTGAGTATGATTATATCTGGGCGCAAGTCTTGCCAAGGCCTGGAAGGCATGCAGATGAATGGTACTAGGTGATGTGGAGTTTTGTTACACGGAGCAGTTTTCTTAACCTGCTGTAGTTCATTTGCTTTTATTGACCCATAATGCCCTTAGGGAGGGAGTTCCAGGATTTTGACCCAACAGTGAAGGAACGGCGATATATTTCCAAGTCAGGATGGTGAGTGGCTTGGAGGGAACTTGTAGGAGGTGTTGTTCAATCATAGAATCCCTACAGTGTGGAAACAGGCCACACTGATCCTTGGAGCATCCCACCCAGACCCATTCCCTATAACCCACCTAATCTACAGACCCCTGAACACTACGGGCAATTTAGCTTAGCCAATCCACCTAACCTCCACATCTTTGGACTGTGGGAGGAAACCGGAGTACCCAGAGGAAACCCACACAGACATGGGGAGAATGTGCAAACTCCACACAGACAGTCGCCTGAGGGTGGAATTGAACCCGGATCCCGGGCACTGTGAGGCAGCAGTGCTAACCACTTAGCCACCGTGCCGCCCTATTCTCAGTTTCTAGTAAATAGTAACTGCCAGGATATTGATAGTGGAGGATTCAGTGATGGTAATGCCATCGAATGTCAAGGGGCAATGGTTAGATGTTCTATTTTTGGAGATGATCATTACGTGGCGTTTGTGTGGTGTAAATGTTACATGCCACTTTTCAGCCCAAGTTTGGACATTGTCCAGATCTTGTTGCATGGACATGGACTGCTTCAGTATCTGCGGAGTCGTGAATGGTGCTGAACATTGTGCAATCATCGGCGAACATCCCTGCTTCTGACCTTATGATGGAAGGAAGGTCATTGATGAAGAAGCTGAAGATGTTTCAACCAAGGACACTACCCTGAGGAACTCCTGCAGAGATGTCCTGGAGCTAAGATGACTGACCTCCAACAAGCACAACCATCTCCCTTTATACCAGGCATGACTCCAACCAGTGGAGAGTTTTTCACCTGATGCCCACTGATTCCAGTTTTGCTCGGGCACCTTGATGCCAATCAGTCAAATTCGGCTTTGATGCCTCTCTACCTCACCTCTGGAATTCAGCTTTTTTGTCCATGTTTGAACCAAGTCTGTAATGAGGTCAGGAGCTGAGTGGCCCTGTCGGAACCCAAACAGGCTGTCACTGAGCAAGTTATTGCTGAGCAGGTGCTGCTTGATAGCACTGTTGATGACACCTTCCATCATTTTACTGATGATCGAAAGTAGACTGATGGGGCTTTTTGTCTACAAGACATACCTGGGAAATTTTGCCACATTGTCAGTTAGATACCAGTGTTGTAACTATACTGGAAGAGCTTGGCATAGGGCGTGGCAAGTTCAGGAGCACATGTCTTCAGTACTATTGCCAGAATGTTGTCAGGACCCATAGCCTTTGCAGTATCTAGAGCCTGCAACCATTTCTTGATATCATGTGGAGTGAATCAAGGTGGCTGAAGACTGGCATCCGTGATGCTGTGGATCACTGGATGAGGCCAAGATGGATCATCCACCTGACACTTCTGGCTGAAGATTGTTCTAAATGCTTTAGCCTTGTACTCTGGGAGTAGCAGGCACTAGTGAGTGAGTAAATGAGTGAGTGAATGAGTTTGTCCTCCCTAATTGGAGGGATTGGGAGTCCTAGAGAAGTGGCTAACAGTGAAGCTCAACTGAATTGATTTACAATCATAATTATTGATTACATTTCATTGTATCTTCTTCCTTATGTTAAACTGTCTCTGCAGATTTATACCCGAAGCAGTTTCTATCACCCTGTGGTTTTTGTTTCATTGTACCAACTATGTGGAATTTGAGATGAATTGGATCTTAGTTTATTGTTCTGAATTGTGAATTGTATTCAGAATCTACAATTTACAGGACATTTCAAGGAACTAAGGAAGAATTGTACAGTATGTTGAACACTTCATCTAAAACCTAACATGGAGCCCCTGAAAACCAAAAATCATCCACAATAGTCAAGAAACCATAGAATCATAGAATCCTTATAGTGTGGAAACAGGCCATTCGGCCCAACAAGTCCACACTGCCCCTAAGATAAGCATCCCACCCAGACCCATTCCTTTAACCTTGCATTTCCCATATCTAGCCCACCTAACCTAAACATTCCTGGACAATTTAGCATGGCCAATCCACCTACCCTGCACATCTTTGAACTGTGGGAGGAAACCGGAGCACCCAGAGGAAACCCACGCAGACAGGGGAGAACATGCAAACTCCACACAGACAGTCACCCGAGGGTGGAATTGAACCCAGGTCCCTAGCAGCAGTGTTAACCACTGAGCCACTGTGCCTCAAGAAAATCCCAACAAACAATCCCTTGGGGAAAAAAAAATTGGTGGACACAGAATTAAGATAATTTAGAAAAAGAAAAGAAATGATAAAGAGTTTCTTTATTTACACAGGGAGTTGATACGATTGTTGGTGGAAAGTGCTGGAAAAATGACTAGTGTAGATTTAGAATAGCATTGGTCAGTGCAGACTCAATGGGCCGAAGGACTTCTTCTGCACTGTGTGATTCTGTGATTCTACGATCATGATTGCACAAACTGAAAGGTTGAAGAAAGTAGACTCAGCTGTCAAAAGGTAATTCAACGAATATTTAAACTTGAAAACTTTGCAGGACATTGGAGAAAGAGCAGGTTGAGTTGGACTAATTGTAAAGTTCTTTCAAATAGTTTAGGCACGATGGGCTGAATGGTCCCTTTCTGATACTATGATAACTAAATAATTGTCTTTAATAGTGGAACATGCTAAGAGCTCTGATCTGTTTGGTGAACCACCGAATTTCAATATAATAGTTGAATAAGTGACTTTGACCAGTAGTTTTGAAACGAAATTGGAAACTAACACACTTTTCAGACTCCCAACCTACTCTCAGTTGTACAATGTCAGAATGAATGGTTTTCTTTTTAAATTCCACCTGACTATACAAAATGATGCTTTCTGTCTCCATTCCTAGTCTTGTTTTAGGAACAAAAAGCTGCACTTATCTACTTATGTTACCTACTGAAATGCTTGGGGATGCTGTTCATAAATAGGTTTGTAGATTTAAGAACTATTGAACTGTATCAAACTATTTGGTTCCTCTTAATTTTGGATCAAACATTCATTCAATAGCAACACGAACAACAGCGTACATTCATACAGCAACTTTACATAATAAAAAGTACCAAGGTAGATCACAGGAGATTTATAAAACAAAACATGATGCTGAGCCACATAGGAGATATTAGGTCAGTTCAGGTCTGGTCAAAGAGTTTGGTTTTAAGGAGTGTCTTAAAGGAAGAAAATGAAAGGGGTGGAGGTGTGTGGGGATGGTATTCCACAATCTAATACGCAAGCAAACATAGTGTAGTGTGGCACTGCCATCATGCTAACTGGGACAGACCAAATAGGTTTAACAGTTCAACATTGTATTCAACCACCATCTGTTACCTCATGGCTCGGCGTATCCCTCCTCTCTTTGCCATCACCATCAAGCCAGGAAATCAGCCCTGGTTCAATGAAGAGTGCAGAAAGGCATGCCAGGAGAAGCACCAGGCATACCTAAAAATGACATCTGAAGTCAGAACAGAAGACTTACACACATGCCAGACAGCAGCAGTAGCATGCAATAGAAAGAGCTAAGTGATACCACAATCGACAAACTACATCTGGCTCTGCAGCTTTGTCACATCTAGTCATGAACAATGGTGGACAAGTAAATTACTAACAAAAGGTGGAGGCTTCACAAAATACCCCCATCCTCAATGATGGGGGAACCCAGAACATAAGTGTAAAAGATAAGACATTTGTAACCATATTCAGCCAGAAGCACCAAGTGGATGATCCATCTTGGCCTCCTCCAAAGGTTCCCAGCATCACAGAAGACTTGTACTCCAGAACTAGCTGCACTCCAGCAGCAGTTACAACACCAGCTCTGACTCGGCAATGTGGAAAATTACCTAGGTATATTGTATCCACAAAAAGCAGGACAACCCCAGACAGCCAATTATCACCCTATGGATCATCAGCAGAGTAATAGAAGTCATTGCTGATTATACTGTCAAGCAACACTCATCTAATAGTGGTAGACAAACAGGAGGCTGGAAGAACACAGCAGGCCAGGCAGCATCTGGAGGAAAGGAGCAGTCAATGTTTCGGGTATTACCCTTCTTCAGGGGTGGATGTGAGGTTTGGGGGAGCTGCAGATAAAGGTTGTGGGGAGGTGTGGAGGAGGAATAGTAGTGATAAGTGGGCACTGATGGTAAGTACGATCATCAACCAGGTCGTACCTACCACCAGTGTCCACCTATCACCACCATTCTGCCAACCACCCCTCCCCCCCAGCCCCCCATTGAACAATCTTCCAGCCTCCTGTTTGTCTACCTTGGATTCCAGCATCTACAGTTTTTTCGTCTCTAACTCAATTAATACTAACGCACTCAGTGATGCTCAGTTTGGTTGTCATCTGGAGCACTCAGCTCCTGACCTCATTACAGCCAAATGTAGACAAAAGAGCTGAACTGACAAGGTGAGGTGAAAGTGGCTGTCCTTAACGTCAAGGCAGCATTTGACCAAGTGTGATAAAACTAGAGTCAATGGGAACTGGGGGCAAACTCTCTGCTGGTTGTAGCCATTCCTATTACAAAGGAAAATGGTTATAGTTGTTTGAAGTCAGTCATCTCAATCTAAGGAGGTTACTGCAGGAGTTCCTCTGGGTAGATATTTGTTAAATAGCTTGTTTGGAAGTATTACGATGTGCTTCTGGAGTAGGTGGGGCCTAAACCCTGACTCTCTGACTCAAAGGACACTACCGCTGAGCCAAAAGAGCCCTAGTTCCTCAGGGTAGATATTTTCTAATCAACTTGTTCAGAGATGTTATTGCACTTCT